CCATTGCACAGTGTGCCTATGCGACCCTATCGTGATCCGATTTGTAAAGAAATCGCAATTACATTAGATGTCAAAATTTAAACTAATATCATCTTACCAAATCGAATTCTGAATAATAATTTGTGTTTTTTCGTAATCTTTAAGAAAATCATAGAAGAAATGCTCCAGAAAAGGATTTGACAATTCAGGGGAAATTTCAATTTTATATTTTTTGCTCAATGAAAATTTGTTTTACTAACATTTTACAATTATCGCAATGTACAACTATAAAAAAAAAATACAGGTATCATGGCAAATGTAGATTACTGTACTGATTTGTTTTCGAACATTTTCATAACAGGCTTTACAGACCTAAAAATTATACATGGATTTTTAAACAATGTGATATGCTTATATCCGTCTATTATGATTAAATGCAGTGATAGTAACTAATAAATCAGGAAATCAAATTAGGACCCTCCCAAAATTTTTATATGCATTGCCTTAATATTGAAAATCATGTTCATATTATGTAATACGTCATTGTAATGTTTGAACAGGTGTCTCATTAGAGAAAGTGATTGATTTTTTCAAAAGTCTTCGCTATTGTGTTTAATCTGATATCATTTTACCGATCAGGGATCTTTCAGACAACAAGATTCGAGACATAGGGGTAGGAGCTTTTGATGGCCTGCAGGATGTAATTCTTTTGTAAGTTAAATTTCTTTTTTGCAACTCTACGTGTTTAGCGACTACATTTTATTACATGATTCGTTTGACCGCTTGACCATGCAAGAGACCTGTATATCGATTTAATAAATACTTTTAAAAACAAAAGTTTCTCTTGAAAACTTTAAAAATAGGGTTTGCCAGAGGCCTAAGGTTATTATATTCACAATGTTTCATTAATGCACACATTTCGATATTCCAATAACTTAAAGGTAACGCAAGGTGACTGATGCCAATAGCGGATTTATTAGTATGATTTTTATAAGTACACTGAGACGAATAAATTCCTTAATTCAAAGGACATGGGAAGTTTTTGATAAGCCCGTCCAAAATTAGATGACAAATACGACGATACTAGCAATGCTAAGCTGATGTGCAATGTTAATTTAATAATAATAATAATAATAATAATAATCTTTTTAGTCCACTTCAAATTTTATTAAAACGAAGTGAAAAATGCTTTTCGCCCAATTGATCATGAGCCCGGCAGCCACTGAGCAGCGTTAGATGCAAAAACATTAGATTCCACAATTTAAACTAATATCATCCTAAATAATCAAATTCTGAATAATAATTTGGGTTTGTACGTAATCTTGGAAGAACATCATTGAAGAAATGCTCCAGAAAAGTATTTGATAATTCAGAGGAAATTTCAATTTAATTTTATTGCTCAATGAAAATTTGTTTTACTAACATTTTACAATTATCACAATTAACAACTTTATAACAAAAAAATACAGATATCATAGCAAATGTAGATTACTGTACTGATTTGTTTTCGAACATTTTCATAACAGGCTTTACAGACCTAAAAATTATACATGGATTTTTAAACAATGTGATATGCTTATATCCGTCTATTATGATTAAATGCAGTGATAGTAACTAATAAATCAGGAAATCAAATTAGGACCCTCCCAAAATTTTTATATGCATTGCCTTAATATTGAAAATCATGTTCATATTATGTAATACGTCATTGTAATGTTTGAACAGGTGTCTCATTAGAGAAAGTGATTGATTTTTCAAAAGTCTTCGCTATTGTGTTTAATCTGATATCATTTTACCGATCAGGGATCTTTCAGACAACAAGATTCGAGACATAGGGGTAGGAGCTTTTGATGGCCTGCAGGATGTAATTCTTTTGTAAGTTAAATTTCTTTTTTGCAACTCTACGTGTTTAGCGACTACATTTTATTACATGGTTTGTTTGACCGCTTGACCATGCAAGAGACCTGTATATCGATTTAATAAATACTTTTAAAAACAAAAGTTTCTCTTGAAAACTTTAAAATAGGGTTTGCCAGAGGCCTAAGGTTATTATATTCACAATGTTTCATTAATGCACACATTTCGATATTCCAATAACTTAAAGGTAACGCAAGGTGACTGATGCCAATAGCGGATTTATTAGTATGATTTTTATAAGTACACTGAGACGAATAAATTCCTTAATTCAAAGGACATGGGAAGTTTTTGATAAGCCCGTCCAAAATTAGATGACAAATACGACGATACTAGCAATGCTAAGCTGATGTGCAATGTTAATTTAATAATAATAATAATAATAATAATAATCTTTTTAGTCCACTTCAAATTTTATTAAAACGAAGTGAAAAATGCTTTTCGCCCAATTGATCATGAGCCCGGCAGCCACTCAGCAGCGTTAGATGCAAAAACATTAGATTCCACAATTTAAACTAATATCATCCTAAATAATCAAATTCTGAATAATAATTTGGGTTTGTACGTAATCTTGGAAGAACATCATTGAAGAAATGCTCCAGAAAAGTATTTGATAATTCAGAGGAAATTTAAATTTAATTTTATTGCTCAATGAAAATTTGTTTTACTAACATTTTACAATTATCACAATTAACAACTTTATAACAAAAAATACAGATATCATAGCAAATGTAGATTACTGTAACTGATTTTATTCGAACATTTTCATTACAGGCTATACAGAACTATAGATTATACATGGATTTAGACAATGTGATTTATTTATATCCGTCTATTATCATTAAATGCAGTGCCAATAACTAATATATTAGGAAATCAACTGAGGACCCTCCCAAAATGTAATATGCATTGCCTTAATAAATCATGTTCGTATTATGTAATACGTCATTGTAATGTCTCATTTGAGAAATTGATTAATTTTTTACAAGTCTTCGCTATATTGTGTTTAATCTGATATCATTATACCGATCAGGGATCTTTCAGACAACAAGATTCGAGACCTTGAGGTTGGAGCTTTTGATGGCCTCCAGAATTTAACTACTTTGTGAGTTAAATTTCTTTTTGCTACTCTACGTTTTTTACCGACTGCATTTAATTACATGGTTCCTCTGACCACTTGACCATGCAAGAGACCTGTATATCGATTTAATAAATACTTTTAAAAACAAAAGTTTCTCTTGAAAACAAAATAAAAGGGTTTTCCAGAGGCCTAAGGTTATCATATTCACAATGTTTCATTAATGCACACATTTCGATATTCCAATAACTTAAAGGTAACGCAAGGTGATTGATGCCAATAGCGGATGTATATGATTATTCTAAGTACACTAATACCCCATTCACAGTGGCCTCAAACACCGCGACATCAGCGGGACTGTCCCGCTGCTGTCGCGGTGTTGTCTTCAGTGTGAAGGCTCGGACCCGTTATAAACTATCGCGGGATATTAACACCGCCTCGCGATAACGCCGCGACAAACTATCGCTAGGTTCGCCTAGCTACAGCAGCGGGACAGTCCCGCTGCTGTCGCGGTGTTTACTCAGTGTGAAGGCTCTCCGCTATAACACCGCGACAAACACGTGTGATTTGTTTACTTACCTATCACTGACCTCTTTTCTCCAGCAATGGTGAACATAAAGTGAAATAGAAATAAAGTAACCAGTGGATTCAAATTGATTTTATTATTATGTAGATATTATAATTATCCAAATAAAAATATTTCACACTTCAAAAAATTAAAATTTTCTGACTGGAAGCAATAAAAATGCTAGTTTTTTAAAAAGTAATATGATCGAGGATACAAAAAGCAACTTGACATGTTTACGCGCTGAAGTATTTCCGGTCATATCGGGGTCACTCGCGGGTCATGAGCCATGCATACACGTGTTTGTTACGGTGGTAATAAAAATCACCCGCTGCAGCGTGAATGGGTACATGATATTTATCCCGCTGCTGCAGCGGGATAACTTTTCTACTGTGAATGCATTTGTAGCGGTGTTATGGCGGTGTCGCCGCTCCGCTACAACGCCGCTACAAATTTCAAAACCACTGTGAATGGGGTAGACGAATAAATTCCTTGCCATTTCCTATAACTTAATTCAAAGGACATGGAAAGTTTTTGATAAGCCCGTCCAAAATTAGATGACGAATACGACGATACTAGCAATGCTAAGCTGATGTGCAATGTTAATTTAATAATAATGATAATAATAATAACAATAATAATAATTTTTTTAGTCCACTCCAAATGTTATTAAACCGAAATGAAAAATGCTTTTTGCCCAATTGATCATGAGCCCGGCTGCCACTGAGCAGCTTCAGATCGACGTTGCTCTATCCCTTATTGTTGAACGCCAAACAAGGTAGCAAGCAACCCCCATCTTTTAACGTCTTTTGGTATGACGCGACCGGGGATCGAACCCACGACCTCCCGGTTGTGAAAAGGACGCTCTACTGATTGAGCCAACACTCTGGTGTTTCCAATCTCAAGTGAAATATTAATCAAATGAGAAGTAGAAAACCATGAAGATACCATCCTGGGACGTCAATTTAACAACGGTAACCTTCTCTACACACGTGTTAAACGTACGATGACTGTGTGTATATGCATACTACAGTCCACAAACAAGCTGCATCTAGGTTAAGTGATGAGTATTTGGGCTGCAAGGGTCTTAACCCCATTGACTACTGAATTCATTCATTCCATAGGCTTAATACAGTAGCCACCCGGTTCTCGTAGGCAATGGGCTAGCATAGGAAAGCGCATAGCAGCTTTCTAGCAATTCTTGCAGATATTAACACTTTAATTCAATGGGTAAAATACGAAATGATCTCTAACATATTTGTTTTGATACGAGGAGAAAAATCTGTCAAAAATAATAATGTCTCGCAATATGCTATGGTCAATACGACTGAAGGCTAGAAAAATTAATGTGCTTAATAAATACAAGTTTCCACGATACTGAAGCGAGTTACGAATGTTTCACATGTTTCGTTTTTAAACCGCATTACGCTTTCAGATCGCATATTTTTGTTGTTTTCCCCCTAGAGATTTGACTTCAAATTCCATTCAGCATTTAGAGCGTGGGGTATTTTCTGGACTCCAGTCTCTTCAATTTCTGTAAGTGAAAGACAATTTGGGGGCAAGTCTAAGCTATTGCCTCCCCACCCCCCCCCCCCTTACGTCACAAACCACATCTAAGATTTAAGTGTATAACTAATGAGCGTGTTAATAGCAATACTAGAAGTTTTATTTGACCAAATGTGAAATGAAAAGACACATTTGATGTCAAAATAATGTTCAGGACTCTTAAATACTGTGTAACGTACGGGACACCAAAGTACCAAATAAATAAATCGACTTACCATTCATCTGTCAATCATTAGTGAGCTAACAAGAGACAGTGGTATGTAGCTTCACCAGAGCTGACCACTTGTTTACAATAGACTATAAAATACCAAAATAGGAGTTGCTGTAGCATCAACAGGAAAAGAAAGGTTATGTGGAGGTATTGTATGAAAGAATGCAATTCTTTTGTGAACATGTGCTGAGCTGGGGGAAGTTACATACCACTGCCTCTTGTAAGCTCACTTATGATTGACAGATGATGTCACAAGATGAATGAGATCTGGAGCATTTTCTGAGGGTGGAGCATAGCAGGTCTAAAAAAAATACTTTATAAAGTATTTAAAAAATCTATGAAATATATTAAGATGTTTGAAGAAGAAAAAAGGTGAGTTGTATGCAGCCCTGCACATCAACAGGAATCAACTTATATTTGGATGTCACCCGACATTTAAGATATCCACCCCCTTAAGTGTTCATTTTTTCCTTTCTTTTATACAGGGATTTGATGTACAACAATATCCAGGGTATCGAAGAATTTACGTTTGAATCTCTGGCGTCTCTCCAATATCTGTATGTAATTTCAATATCATTCACTTTGTTTGATGTTTACATCCGTGGACAAGGGATTTTTTAGCAATATTTGCCCCCTGATCTGTACCAACGTATATGAAACGAGCACCAGACAGTATTTAGAAAGTAATAAATTACGATCCATTAAAAGGAGCAGTATTAATACCGATCGCAAATAAAATATAGGCTCTACGAAGTAGGAGTATTAGTAATACACTGTAGACAAATTAGCTTTTGTTTACTAATATGTTTTTGTCCCAAGAATCCAAACAGATGCACACTAACACATAAATGTTTAGGTGCTAGTATTCAAACACTTAAAACGAAGGTAAATTAGCACTTACTGTTTAACAATCAGTTTATCCGCGTGTTATAGGGCTTTCACATATACACTCCGGGGCCCGAACGGCGAGTAAAAACAGACATTTCAGTAATTTTCAGCCGGTGTCCAGGCGGCTGCCGTAAAGTTCCTACGGGCGCCGGGACAGTTTTTTAAGTGGTACGGGCGCCGTGGGGCTGACTTGGCTGCTCCCAATTCTCCCGGCGTTTTATCCGACCGTTAGGCGGTATAAAGCCCGGACGGGACGGACGGGCCCCTCACGAATTTTGTGGGTCTATTTTTCTAAGAAATCTCAAAAACATTAGATTCCACAATTTAAACTAATATCAGCTTACCTCATCAAATTCTGAATAATAATTTGTGTTTTTACGTAATCTTGGAAGAACATCATTGAAGAAATGCTCCAGAAAAGTATTTGATAATTCAGGGGAAATTTAAATTTAAATTTTATTGCTCAATGAAAATTTGTTTTACTAACATTTTACAATTATCGCAATTAACAACTTTATAACAAAAAATACAGATATCATAGCAAATGTAGATTACTGTAACTGATTTTTTTTTTCGAACATTTTCATAACAGGCTTTACAGACCTATAGATTATACATGGATTTTTAGACAATGTGATATGCTTATATACGTCTATTATGATTAAATGCAGTGCCAGTAACTAATAAATCAGGAAATCAACTGAGGACCCTCCCACAATTTCATATGCATTGCCTTAATATTGAAAATCATGTTCATATTATGTAATACGTCATTGTAATGTTTGAACAGGTGTCTCATTAGAAAAAGTGATTGATTTTTCAAAAGTCTTCGCTATTGTGTTTAATCTGATATCATTATACCGATCAGGGATCTTTCAGACAACAAGATTCGAGACATTGAGGTAGGAGCTTTTGATGGCCTGCAGAATGTAACTGATTTGTAAGTTAAAATCTTTTTTACAACTCTACGTGTTTACCGATTACATTTTATTACATGGTTCGTTTGACCGCTTGACCATGCAAGAGACCTGTATATCGATTTAATAAATACTTTTAAAAACAAAAGTTTCTCTTGAAAACTTAAAAAAAGGATTTGCCAGAGGCCTAAAGTTATTATATTCACAATATTTCATTAATGCACATATTTCGATATTCCAATAACTTAAAGGTAACGCAAGGTGATTGATGCCAATAGCGGATTTATAAGTATGATTTTTCTAAGTACACTGAGACGAATAAATTCCTTAATTCAAAGGACATGGGAAGTTTTTGATAAGCCCGTCCAAAAATAGATGACGAATAATACGATACTATCAATGCTAAGCTGCAGTGCAATGTTTCAGATCTCAAGTGAGATATTAAACAAATGAGAAGTAGAAAACCATTAAGATACCATCCTGGGATGTCAATTTAACAACGGTAACCTTCTCTACACACGTGTTAAACGTACGATGACTGTGTGTATATGCATACTACAGTCCACAAACAAGCTGCATCTAGGTTAAATGATGAGTATTTGGGGTGCAAGAGTCTTAACCCCATTGACTACTGAATTCATTCATTCAGTAGCCACCCGGTTCCCGTAGCCAATGGGCTAGCATAGGGAAGCGTATGGCAGATTTCTAGCAATGCTTGCATATATTTACACTTTAATTCACCGGGTAAAATACGAAATGATTTCTTACATATTTGTTTTGATACGAGGAAAGAAATATGTCACAAATAATCATCATTCTCAATATGCTATGGTCAATACGGCTAAAGGCTAGAAAGTTTCATGTGCCTATAATAGATAAAAGTTTTCCCGATACTCAGTGAAGCGAGTTACGAATGTTTCACATATTCGTTTTTAAACCGCATTACGCTTTCAGATCGCATATTTTTGTTGTTTTCCCCCTAGAGATTTGACTTCAAATTCCATTCAGCATTTAGAGCGTGGGGTATTTTCTGGACTCCAGTCTCTTCAATTTCTGTAAGTGAAAGACAATTTGGGGGCAAGTCTAAGCTATTGCCTCCCCACCCCCCCCCCCTTACGTCACAAACCACATCTAAGATTTAAGTGTATAACTAATGAGCGTGTTAATAGCAATACTAGAAGTTTTATTTGACCAAATGTGAAATGAAAAGACACATTTGATGTCAAAATAATGTTCAGGACTCTTAAATACTGTGTAACGTACGGGACACCAAAGTACCAAATAAATAAATCGACTTACCATTCATCTGTCAATCATTAGTGAGCTAACAAGAGACAGTGGTATGTAGCTTCACCAGAGCTGACCACTTGTTTACAATAGACTATAAAATACCAAAATAGGAGTTGCTGTAGCATCAACAGGAAAAGAAAGGTTATGTGGAGGTATTGTATGAAAGAATGCAATTCTTTTGTGAACATGTGCTGAGCTGGGGGAAGTTACATACCACTGCCTCTTGTAAGCTCACTTATGATTGACAGATGATGTCACAAGATGAATGAGATCTGGAGCATTTTCTGAGGGTGGAGCATAGCAGGTCTAAAAAAAATACTTTATAAAGTATTTAAAAAATCTATGAAATATATTAAGATGTTTGAAGAAGAAAAAAGGTGAGTTGTATGCAGCCCTGCACATCAACAGGAATCAACTTATATTTGGATGTCACCCGACATTTAAGATATCCACCCCCTTAAGTGTTCATTTTTTCCTTTCTTTTATACAGGGATTTGATGTACAACAATATCCAGGGTATCGAAGAATTTACGTTTGAATCTCTGGCGTCTCTCCTATATCTGTATGTAATTTCAATATCATTCACTTTGTTTGATGTTTACATCCGTGGACAAGGGATTTTTTAGCAATATTTGCCCCCTGATCTGTACCAACGTATATGAAACGAGCACCAGACAGTATTAAGAAAGTTATACATTACGATCCATTAAGAGGAACACTATTAATACCGATCGCAAATAAAATATAGGCTCTACGAAGTAGTAGTATTAGTAATACACTGTAGACAAATTAGCTTTTGTTTACTAATATGTTTTTGTCCCAACAATCCAAACAGATGCACACTAACACATAAATGTTCAGGTGCTAGTATTCAAACACTTAAAACAAAGGTAAATTAGCACTTACTGTTTAACAATCAGTTTATCCGCGTGTTATAGGGCTTTCACATATACACTCCGGGGCCCGAACGGCGAGTAAAAACAGACATTTCAGTAATTTTCAGCCGGTGTCCAGTCGGCTGCCGTAAAGTTCCTACGGGCGCCGGGACAGTTTTTTTAAATGGTACGGGCGCCGTGGGGCTGACTTGGCTGCTCCCAATTCTCCCGGCGTTTTATACGACCGTTAGGCCGTATAAAGTCCGTAAAGGACCCGTTAGGGCACCTAACGGGTCCCGTGCTGGCTCCGGACGGGCCCCTCACGATTTTTGTGGGTCTATTTTTCTAAGAAATCTCAAAAACATTAGATTCCACAATTTAAACTAATATCATCTTAAATAATCATAACAGGCTTTACAAACCTATAGATTATACATGGATTTTTAGACAATGTGATATGCTTATATCCGTCTATTATGGTTAAATGCAGTGACAGTAACTAATAAATCAGGAAATCAACTGAGGACCCTCGCAAAATTTTATATGCATTGCCTTTAGAATCATGTTCACATTATGTAATACGTCATTGTTATGTTTGAACAGGTGTCTCATTAGAAAAAGTGATTGATTTTTCAAAAGTCTTCGCTATTGTGTTTAATCTGATTTCATTATACCGATCAGGGGGCTTTTAGACAACAAGATTCAAAACATTGAGGTTGGAGCTTTTGATGGCCTGCAGAATGTAACTGGTTTTTAAGTTAAAATCCTTTTTGCAACTCTACGTGTTTACCGATTACATTTAATTATATGGTTGGGTTTGACCGCTTGACCATGCAAGAGACCTGTATATCGATTTAATAAATACTTTTAAAAACAAAAGTTTCTCTTGAAAACTTAAAAAAGGGGGTTTGCCAGAGGCCTAAGGTTATTATATTCACAATGTTTCATTCACGCACACATTTCGATGTTCCAATAACTTAAAGGTAACGCAAGGTGATTGATGCCAATAGCGGATTTATTAGTATGATTTGTTTAAGTACACTGAGACGAATAAATTCCTTAATTCAAAGGACATGGGAAGTTTTTGATAAGCCCTTCCAAAAAAAGATGACGAATAATACGATACTATTAATGCTAAGCTGCAGTGCAATGTTTCAGATCTCAAGTGAGATATTAAACAAATGAGAAGTAGAAAACCATTAAGATACCATCCTGGGACGTCAATTTAACAGCGGTAACCTTCTCTACACACGTGTAAAACGTACGATGACTGTGTGTATATGCATACTACAGTCCACAAACAAGCTGCATCTAGGTTAAGTGATGAGTATTTGGGGTGCAAGGGTCTTAACCCCATTGACTAATGAATTCATTCATTCAGTAGCCACCCGGTTCCCGTAGCCAATGGGCTAGCATAGGGAAGCGTATGGCAGATTTCTAGCAATGCTTGCATATATTTACACTTTAATTCACCGGGTAAAATACGAAGTGATCTCTTACATATTTGTTTTGATACGAGGAAAGAAATATGTCACAAATAATCATCATTCTCAATATGCTATGGTCAATACGGCTAAAGGCTAGAAAGTTTCATGTGCCTATAATAGATAAAAGTTTTCCCGATACTCAGTGAAGCGAGTTACGAATGTTTCACATACTCGTTTTCAAACCGCATTACGCTTTAATAACTTGCGAATATTCTTGTTTTTCCCCCAGAAGTTTGACATCGAATTTTATTCAGCATTTAGAGCGTGGGGTATTTTCTGGACTCCAGTCTCTTCAAGTTCTGTAAGTGAAAGACAATTTGGGGGCAAGTCTAAGCTATTGCTCCCCCCCCCCCCTACGTCACAAACCACATCTAAGATTTAAGTGTATAACTAATGAGCGTGTTAATAGCAATACTAGAAGTTTTATTTGACCAAATGTGAAATGAAAAGACACATTTGATGTCAAAATAATGTTCAGGACTCTTAAATACTGTGTAACGTACGGGACACCAAAGTACCAAATAAATAAATCGACTTACCATTCATCTGTCAATCATTAGTGAGCTAACAAGAGACAGTGGTATGTAGCTTCACCAGAGCTGACCACTTGTTTACAATAGACTATGAAATACCAAAATAGGAGTTGCTGTAGCATCAACAGGAAAAGAAAGGTTATGTGGAGGCATTGTATGAAAGAATGCAATTCTTTTGTGAACATGTGCTGAGCTGGGGGAAGTTACATACCACTGCCTCTTGTAAGCTCACTTATGATTTACAGATGATGTCACAAGATGAATAAGATCTGGAGCATTTTCTAAGGGTGGAGCATAGCAGGTCTAAAAAAATACTTTACAAAGTATTTTAAAAATGTATGAAATATATTAAGATGTTTGAAGAAGAAAAAAGTGAGTTGTATGCAGCCCTGCACATCAACAGGAATCAACTTATATTTGAATGTCACCCGACATTTAAGATATCCACCCCCTTAAGTGTTCATTTTTTCCTTTCTTTTATACAGGGATTTGATGTACAACAATATCCAGGGTATCGAAGAATTTACGTTTGAATCTCTGGCGTCTCTCCAATATCTGTATGTAATTTCAATATCATTCACTTTGTTTGATGTTTACATCCGTGGACAAGGGATTTTTTAGCAATATTTGCCCCCTGATCTGTACCAACGTATATGAAACGAGCACCAGACAGTATTTAGAAAGTAATAAATTACCATCCATTAAGAGGAGCAGTATTAATACCGATCGCAAATAAAATATAGGCTCTACGAAGTAGGAGTATTAGTAATACACTGTAGACAAATTAGCTTTTGTTTACTAATATGTTTTTGTCCCAAGAATCCGAACAGATGCACACTAACACATAAAGGTTTAGGTGCTAGTATTCAAACACTTAAAACGAAGGTAAATTAGCA